TGGCACCAGGATCACAGATATACAAGAAACAACAAACCCACAGGATTGGAGGTACGTGGACTCTGCGCAGAATCCGGCTGATGACCTAACAAAGGGAAAACGTCTTGAGGATTTAGCCCGACCGAACAGATGGAGTAATGGACCCCCCTTCCTTTTAATGCACTCTGATCAATGGCCTAAGAGTCCTGTTAACAGCTCCTTGGAAGGGGATTCGGAGTTGCGTAAGTCAATGTTCTGCGCCCTGAATGTAGTAACCTCCAACTCAGAGATTCCTGATGCCAGGCAGTATACAGTTTACAGAGAATTACTGGAAGCTACTGCACAATATGTTCATGGGGCTGCGAGTGGAGAGCCGCTAACAGCTGCAGATTTCCTACAAGCAGAAATACTTCAGTGGAGAGCAGCTCAGCAAGATAGTTTTCTCTGCGACTTCCAATGCCTGAAGCAAGGTAAACCTCTTCTTTCTGACAGTAAACTGCTCACTTTGTGTCCGGAGCTGGACAAAGAAATGGATGTTATTCGAGTGGGGGGAAGACTTCGACGAGCTGAGGCACTCGACATAGCAACAAAGCACCCAATTGTCCTTGATCCCAGTCATGCCCTTACTAAGCTTATAATTCAGGACTATGATCAGCAGTTGAAACATTCAGGCCCAGAAAGAGTTCTGGCTGAAGTTAGAAGAAAGTTTTGGATTCTGTGTGGTAGAGAGGCCATCCGCAATCACCAATTTCGATGCACTGACTGTAGGAAATGGAGAGCCAAACCAGAAATCCCAAAAATGTCAGACTTGCCTGTAGCTCGACTACGACTATTTAAGCCTGCGTTTTACTCCACTGGAATGGATTGCTTTGGGCCCTTCTCAGTTAAGATTGGACGGAGAGTGGAGAAAAGATGGGGAATAATTTGGAAGTGTTTAACAACCAGATGTGTCCACCTTGACATTCTATCAAGTATTGATACTGATTCCTTCCTCATGGCATTTAGGAGATTTGTGGCACGTAGAGGAACTCCTTTTGAGCTATGGTCTGATCAAGGGACTAATTTTAAAGGAGGGGAGAGAGAGTTACATGAAGCATTCAAAATGATGTCACCTGAACTGCAACAATGGTTGGCGAAGCAGAAAGTTCGCTTTCATTTCAACCCACCTGGAGCTCCTCATTTCGGAGGAGTATGGGAACGTGAAATACGATCTGTAAAATCAGCTCTGTATGCTTCCGTTGGTGCTCAATCTGTAACGGAGGAAGTCCTCAGGACAGTGTTAACTGAGGTAGAGGGAATACTGAACTCCAAGCCTCTTGGATACCTATCCTCTGACGTCTCAGATGCTGATCCCATTACTCCGAATCACCTTCTCATGGGGCGGCTGGATGGCTCTCTCCCACAAGTTGTATACCCTCAGAGCGAAATGATCAGTCGTAAACGATGGCGCCACAGTCAGATCCTCACAGACCTATTCTGGTCCTCATTTATCAAGTACTACCTACCAAATATGCAGACTCGATCTAAATGGCAGAAAGACGTTGAAGAAATTGCTGTTGGGAATGTCGTTATGCTGGTAGACCCTCAACTGCCTAGAGCGATGTGGTTAATCGGGAAGGTGACCAAGGTCATGCCAAGTGCCGATGGGCATATCAGAGCTGCAGATGCGCTAATCAATGGACGAACCTATACCAGACCTGTTTCAAGGATGATTGTACTCCCTGCTATCCCTGATGACACAGAAACCTCATAACTGTAGATCATTTATCAGGGACAAATTTAGTTCCTAAATTTGGGGGCGGCTGTACAAAAGGCCCGCTATGAGTCGAACATGTATATAGTTAATATGGGAACATTACTTATTACGTCCAGTAGGTGGCGACCTGCCCTTACTCAAGTTCATTGCAAGTATTGCATCAGTCGTAACTCAGACTGCGTTATGAGGAAATGGATAGAAACTCCGGTCAGGTGTGGACTGTTAGTGCTGGAGTACTGAGAATTTACCTTGTTCTAATTATTCCTGAGTGGTTTTAGTTGGTGTGCGTCAATGACGATATGTAAGTGCGCTGTTTATTATTAATGTTTCTTTGAGAGTTTCTAGTAACTAGTTAACATTGTAATATGTGCTGATTCATTGCTGATTCAACCTAATGCTAAGCTAATTATGACTGTTTGTGACAGACGTCAATAGTGTAATATTTGGCTAGCGTTAGTGACTATTCCATTTGATTATCATCACTGTAATAATGTAATCGCTACAATTGATTACTTTATTATGAGAAGTGTTGTTCTCTTTCGGTAATATTGTTTGTATATATTCTGCTAATATTGTTCTAATGTCCTAGCTTATGAGCATACTGTTGTGTTCATTTGTGACGATACTATTGCAGTTAGTAATTATTCCTTTTCTCTGTTTATTTAGAACCACACACACATACACAGAGAACTACAGAATTGCATATACTGTTTATATTGCAACCAAAGGAAGAAACCTTTTATGCCATACCGTGCTGTTTGCTGTTCCTATATTCCAACTATTGAAGTAAACCTATATCAACCTGATTCTGTCTTCCTGAGTCGTGACTGACATCCTGTAGCGAATGCAACCTATTACCACCCAATTCAGTAGCAACTAACCCTTCCTAACAAATATGAATTGAGAACATTTAGCAAAATCATAGTAAGTCTTTTAACTTTTAAAATCTTTGTGTGTGTGTGTAACTGAAAGAAGTACAGAAGAGATTGTTCATATCCCTTCTTCCAAAAATGTGATAGGGGAATACTGAAAGATTAGGTTGAAGTGCCATCTTTGATATTAGCCCAAAATAGAGGTGGGTTTTTTTTTGCCCCCTGTTGCTTTCACAAATATGTAATGATTGGTTTAGGCTATATAGGCTGGATGGGCTTCGAGGGATGTGATCTGGTCTTTTTAGGCTATATTCCCGCTGTCATTTCTTGAACTAGACAAGAAGGTCAAAGATGTAATTACACAAAACAAACTTTTGTTGACGGATATTTGGTCATCAAATTGTGACCACTAGGCTAACTTAGGCTATTTTCAACGGGGAAGATTTGATCAAATAACCTTTTTTTGTTGTTGTTGTGTAAACCTAACTTGAAAATATCATCATCTCTGGAAGAGGTACGAGACTCATTCCTGTTGCCAGATCTTGCTAGCAAAGTGAACAAGAACAAGCTCATGATAAACCGAGATGAGAATCCAAATGCTTTATATTGAAAACAAGACCAAAATAACGCACCCCACACCTACCCACTTTAATATCCCCATAAACTTGATCGCTTGATGAACCAAACCCAAACAAGCCCAAAAACGCTTATAATAAGTGTGGACATGGCAACACATTAAGAGCACACTCCGTGAAGCAGCCTTTTTACAAGCATAACATGACGCCTCTTAAATGGTTGTTTAGTTAAAATTACAGAACATTACGAGTCTTTGTAATGTTACTTTTGTCAAAAATTGTGGATACCAGATGGCCATGCCAGAACTTTACTTTGGTTACCATGTTGTCATTCATCACAATTTCAGGAGTGTTGCAGACTCCTGAAACGTAGTGTGTACGTGGCCATATTCATGCATGAATACCCCAATTTATCAAACACTTGAAATGCCCTGGAAATCTTATAGCATCGATAAAAAAATAAAAGATAAATTTGATGTGTTTCTATTCAAAAAGATAGGCCTATTTGGAGACACCACATGTAATTTATTCTACCACACGTATATTATGTCACATATAGCCTATCCCTCATCTATACTTAAAAATTATGTGTGACAAAATGGAGTCCATTCCAGCAGAAGTGTCCATCACTGCATGAAAGCTCAGCCGAGAGCCCATACAGCATACATACGCCAGTGGAAATTGTACTATTCTTGTGAGAAAATGTGAAATCGTTGGATTGTTTTGCAGAAAAGCTCAGCTCTGTATCATTAAACTGTTCGCTGCTGCAGTTTTGGTGAGATGGATGCCATTATTCAGCTGTAGCTGTCAGAGCGGCATGCATTCACTATTGTGTTATTATTTGGATGACTTGTGATATGATTACAACATATTGATTAAAATGTGCACATTTGATTAATACATACAAACTCTAATAAAAACATGCAAACAAAATAGACAGCTGTGACCTCAGGTGGGCGGTGGTCATGTATGACAGTGTTCTCACCCTTGTAACTCATTTGTAATCGGTGAAGCTGATGGTGTTACAGCTCAAAATGCAACTGTTCCCTAACTGAATAACAACTAGTAGCCCATGAAGCCCACAACAGTAATTCAATTGAAATAGTCAAGTCACCTTTATTTATATAGAGTTTTATACAATACAGATTCAAAGCACAAAGCAGTAATAAACAGGAAAATACTGATGCAAACCATCAAATATGAGAGACAAATTTAAATTCGGCTGTAAAGCAGCAGAAGACAATAATGTTATTATTCAGCTCAGGTCAGTTCATGTTGATTCAGTTCAGTTCAATAACTGTGTAAAGTTCATCAATTATTGATCAATGTTGATTCAATTTATATAAATGACAATTTATATCCATGTTGGAAAATGCATAATGAAACGAATAAATAGTAAACTTGCACAATTACAAAACATGTTTGTTTTTTAAATCATACTTTTTACTTTTATTTATTTTTAGGTATAATAATCAATGTTTTCAAAGGTGATTATTAAACACTACTTTACTATAACATTGTTCAACATCCTTTGACAGAAAATTGACCATCTGGCTGAATAATGATTATTGTCTAAGATATTCTCGTTTAAAATGATGCGTGTGTGTATTATGAAGGCCTGTTATGTTTGCTCGCTCCATTTTCGCGCTACTCTGTCAGTTCCGTCTTAAATCAGACTACATTAATGTCATGCGTTGTGTTCCTCACGTGTTAGTTCGAGGGGAAGCTCCTGTGCCCCACGATCTGACCTCTCATCACGACGGGACCAGTGGACACCAGGACATCATCCTCCGTTCACGCGTTTCTCTCTCTCTCTTAATCTTAAAGACGCTTTAGCATTTGCTTTTGCCTAGTCTCTGGAAAACATCTGAATCATTTTAACCAACTCCAGCTGTCGCCCTGGTGTGTGTGTGTGTGTGTGTGTGTGAGAGAGAGAGAGAGAAAGTGCGTGGCCGTCTCTGAATGAGAGGAGACTCGAGCGAGGGTGACGTTTAGATTTACACACAAAAAAAAGTTAGGATATTTTTTTCGTCAGTTTTATGTCGGTATGAACGCAGATGCGTGCGTCTCATACTGCGATATGACCTCCATGGATTCATATTATCCCTCATCGTCAGGGCAAGGAAGAGTCCAGCAGGCCAATCCTTACAGGACGTTCCAGCCGAGCGACTCCAAATACAGTCCCACTTTTCTGCCCGCCAAAGGTCAAGCTTACGGGGACAAGCCGAGGAGTCCCTTCCAGCAGGAGTGCCCTTCACTGGAGGAAAGCTCAGCCGAGAGCCCGTACAGCAAGTATCATCTGTTCATGCATAGACCCACATGCAAAACTCCCACTGAAGACAGCAAACTACAGGACATCTCGTGCTATGGTGAGTGGCATCATGTTAGATTTCATCTCTAGAGGTGACGCATTAAATTAACATGATTAAATTTCCACCCTATGTTTAGGATGTCACTGTCAGTGACAGTGTATTTTGATCACTGTATCAGAACATCTCCCGGTTGAGAGTAAAAGGAGGCCTTTAATGAGTAAGCTTCAATTTGTTCTCACATTTGTTCTAGTTCATAGGCTATGCACTTCTCGCCTTGATAAAAATTACGGTAGGCTAACACTTTATTTTAAGGTGACGTACACTTTTTACTTAGCTATAACAGTGAATAATGCGGGTAACTAACCCTAAATTAAACCCTAACCCTACTGCAACTCTATAGTAAGTAGCCTGCCCTACATCTAGGCTAGTTCATTAATATTAGGCTATAGGCCTACTCATAGGCTACTTATTTACGTCACCTTAAAATAAAGTGTTTCCAAAATTACGTTTTACATGCTTTACATTTTTAAGTAAAATCAAAGTCACAAGTTATTTTTTGCACTTTTCGACCACTTTTTAAATTAGGCTATTGATAAAGAAAGTTGAAACTTTAATATTTTAGTTAGGCTAATTACGTTGGTTATTTAGCCAGAATGACTGTCACATAAACGTGAAAGATCATAGGCAAAACAAGTAGCCTAGCCTATACTATAGCCTATCCGCGAAAATACTCTTTCGCAGCCGTCTAATTCATATAGGCTAACCGTAAAACTTTTTTTTTTGTAAATAATTATAAATAATAATCCACAATACATTTTTTGCATTTATTAAATCGAATAAAATATTTGTATTAAACTCACAATTTTTGTGTGTTTTAGGATGATAGAATTATGACTTTTCTGCTTAATGCAATGAACTGCAAAGCGTAAATTCACTTAATAAAAGTTAAACATAATTAGGCCTGGTTCATTTATTCATTCCTGTATATTACCAATAGACTTTGCCTGAGCCTCAACAGAGCGATTTATCGGCATCGTTCAGGCACTTCTGAAGGCTATTTAAATCCACACTCATTCTCGCCTGTATTTGTCTAATAGCCTACTTTTACGTTGACCATACGGACGTTGCCGAAAATTAAAATGTTCTTACTCATAAAAAAATAAATATATAGCCTAAACTATTCGGCTGGTGATCATAAACAATCAAAGCAGAAGTCATGAACAGACCTATAGATGTTGCCATGCTCAAAACGAATAAAAATATTATCATCGTCTTCTGAATTTCAAACAGTGGCATGAAAAGCCATCCTTGTGGTTGTAAATCAGGCAAGGGCTATTTACGATGCCTGATCGCAGGCAGTGAATACAGACACCGACTGTATATTCAGGCTATATAGCCTAAATATTACCCTTTCTGAACTGTCTGTTTATGACGTGAACCTAAAACGAAGTTGTGTCACTAAGAAAAAAAAAAGATGAAAAAAATTAATGAACTGTTTTGACGTGATTTAATAAATAAATATAGCATTAGCCTTATAAAATGATGTATCTAACCTTACCCGTTGTCTACCAGCACCTTTAAAACGTAGCTTATATTTGATTTACAAATGCTTTAAAAATAATTACACTGTGATTAATTCTATGGAAAGTCATTGGGAAATTATCATGCACCCAGATTATTATTAGGAATCCCCTTTAAAAGAAACAAACAAAAAAGGCTATATTATACAGCCAAGCTTTCACTCTTATTATTGTTCCAGAGCTCTTTTTGCATATATAAAATGTTTATTGTCTTCTGTAATAATAATCAGATTTGAAAAAACAATAATATACATAGGACAGGCTAAAACAATTATCAGATCTTTACAATTTCTTAAGCACAGCATAGTTCACTGTATTTTGCTACCATTGCTATGGGTGTTTGAATAAATGGATTCATTAAAAATGAAAATAAATTAATAATTAATGCTCTAAAGCAGGTGATAATTAGGGCTATTTGTAAAAAGATCATTGCAGTCCAACTGGACATAATTCTTAAATATTTTCAACGACAAAAAATAGGTTGTCAAATAGTCATCAGGCCTGAAGATACAGTATGAGATAATCACCAATAATTCCTTTCATGGGCATATTATGATGCACAGACACAGACAGCGTTTCTGTGGTTTGAGGAGAATGAACACTGGTTCCCACACCATGGTCTGTGTGCTGTAGATGTGAAGGGTAAGATCGAGCCTGACTGACCAGTCGGAGAACATCGGGAAGCCGAAAACCGCTTTTCATCCACTATTCAACACAGAGAGAAGTATGTGCACTGACTCAAGTTAACACTTTTTCAAGTGTGGATTGTAAACTTGTTATGCGATTAGATCCAAAATATAAGAGGGTGGTTTGCTCTTTCCAGCCAATCAGAACCCAGTAAAACTACAGAGTCAGTAACAAAGTGGGTTGTTCAAAACAATAAGAGCGCAACATTTCTAATTAAACCTTGCACATGACTTGAGTATAGTTATTTAAACCAGTTAAATCCTTAACAAATGCTGTAATCTCACAGTGCATTTAAAATCTGTTTTAATTTGGATACATTATTGGAAACCACAGGAAAGCATGAAACCAAAAGACCTGAGTACGGTAATTCCTGACCAGTAGGGAGAGTAGGGCATCATTCAGAGGCAGATGTGTGCTATATGGATTCCCAGAGATATCATTCATGCGTTTATGCTCAGCACCATCAGTGCCACTGGGAGGCCTAAAATGACCAGCCCTGACTGGTTTGCATAACCTTTCCTTACAAAATGACATGTGCAAATAAACCAGCATTCAACAATTGATGGGATAGTCGGTTATTAGGTAGCGAGACTTGAAGGTTTACACATTTGAATACACATGGTTTGGTAGTTAATTGTGTGGATAACAGATTTCAGAGGTGTGGCATCATGGACAAAATATTTAATGTGATAGAATAAAGTGTGTACTGCTTGTCCTTGGCACCAAAGGCCATAATACTCGATATTCAAGCAGAACTGGATGAAATATCTATCAACAATCTGATTTGTGATGCAGTCTGGAATTAAACCACACCATGTTGCTTCTTTTGGCCAAAGGAAAACTGGTCCTCTGACTGAGCCTGGTTTCTCGTTTTATCCATTTCTATAACCTTGCCACTGTCGCCTTTTGGCTTGCTTATAGTTGTGGACACTTAATAATTAGCAATATTATTGATATGACTGCACTGACACTATATTGGATGAGAACTGAATGGATGATGACCACTTTTTTCTCTAGAGCTGCTTTATAGATGATTTGAACTCATAATTCATGATCTTTACACATTATTGAACGCAACTGAATCAACACTGAACATATCAACATGTACAAAAACCTATTAAAACCATATATATATATATATATTTTTTTTAAAGACGGTACATGTTGATATAAAAATTCAGCCGTGCATAAAATAGCTACTCTTCAATGCATGCCATGAAGAGAATGTTTGCATCCTCGCCATGAGCAATTTTAAATTATAGTGAGCTTATGGGAGTGAAATCCTGGAGGCAGAAAACAGTCGCAGTTCTGCAGTATGGAAGTCAAGTGTGAGGTCATTTTTCAGGAGCTCAGATTTAACGGAAACACTGTCCTGGTTTCCCACAGAATCCACATTCCTGTGCCGGCTTTCAGGCATTGATCTTCTCACAGGAACATCTGGAAGTTTTACTTCTGCACAGATTCCTGTATCTTTAACGTACAGTATAGGGTGGACATTTTCCTCAGAATTGAAAGTTTAAATGCTCAATGAATTGCTTAACATTTTTCAATTGGAGGCCAAATGCTAGAGCGTAGATTAGAATATTTCACTATTAAAAATAACGGTTCATTATTGGCATCTATATGGTTCCACAAAGAACCTTTAATATCCATGGAACATTTCCACTCCACAAAACACTTTTTATTGTGGAAAAAGGTTCTTTAGATTCTTAACATGTTCTTCACATTAAGAAAAAAAAGTTTATTTTAAGCATTGTTCACTGAAAGGTTCATTGGGGAATCCAGAACGGTTCTTCCATGGGATCGCTGCAAAACCCCCCTTTTGGAACCCTTTATTTTTAAGTGTAACTTGTTGGTTTTGCATCAGAGTTTAACACCAGATTTGCTCTTTTGCTCATTTGCACATGATAATCTTGAATTGAATGGCATTTTTCATTATTAAAATGTCACTGGATGACACTGATTTTGGTGATTTACAGTGTGATTTATCTGGAGCTGACCAAAGCCATCAGATTCTATAAAAGCTATGGGTGTCCTGCTGCTTTACAGCTAGTTCAATTACACTTTGATGTTTCTCTCCTTGTTTCTTTCAGTGATTAAATTGCCGCTCCTAGTAAGAATCTGACCTCTGCTAATTCAAAGACACAGGCGGCTCCTTCAGGATGGAGTCAGTGTTCTCAGGGGAGTGTTTTGCCTTGGTGTGAATTCATTTTCAAAAGAGGTATTACTGTAAACACCGGTTTACAGAAAGGAGAATTCCGGTATATGTTTCTAGGCTGCAGGGCTTTTGCAATGCCAATATCAGTTGTGTAAAATATGTGATTTTTACATTATTAGATATGTTTCCAGAGGGGCAATTTGGAAAATAAGGTCCTTTAAAAATTAAATGGTCTTTATTGCATATATTGGGTTGCATGAAGAACTTTTACCATTCATGGAACCTTTCCATTCCATTTTATAGTGGAAAAGGGTTCTTTTGATTTTTAAAATGTCACTCTAAGAAGTTTATTTTAAAAACTTTTCACTTTAACAAAAGAACCTTTAACAACCATGGAACCTTTCCATTGCACAAAAGGCTCTACAAGAATAACCATTTTTTGTTAACCATCAATATTCTTGATGGGAATTTTTTACACTAAGAAAAAAAAAGGTTATTTTAAGAACTGTTGAAAGAAAAGTTCTTTGAGGAACCCCAAATGTTAGAAAGCTCTTCTATTGCATTGCTATGAAAACCCCATTTGGAACCTTTATTTTGAATGTATAGTTTGGATGTGAGCGTGTATTTGATAGTAGTTCTTCCTGTAGCTGAAATAGTAGAGCATGGTGCCAACAAAGCCATGCAAAGATCAAGGGTTTGATTCCCAGGGAATGCATGAACTTGATGAATTGTATATCTTAAAGGGGTACTTCACCACTGGCAAATGGGCTTTCAATAAAACTTGTCTGCCTGTACAGTAGAAAGGCTAGAGAAAACAGAGAAAAAAGGCTGCTGTCTTTCCTTTTGCCAGATAGGAAAACTTCAACACCCATAATGCACTGGGCATGTTGCTGTCCAAGGCCACTCCCACCAGTCTACTGATGCGCTTACCAGAGTCAAATACTGCCTTGCTTTAGTAGGAAATACTTCTTAGCAAACTTTAAATCATAATGCTGTTGACTTGTATTGTTCCCAGGTGCAAGAATTCAAAGAGAAAGCGTGAGTTACTTTCAGTTTCCAGTGAAGGATCCAGCGTTTTGTAGGCAGTGCTGCACATAATCGTGAACATGGAGTAAAATAAATCTTAATTTGTTAATTTGTAGTTAACATTTCAAACTAGATGACCACGAGCTGTGTTTTAGGCCAAACGGAGGGGGAAACAAGTAAACTTTGTTCATTTACATATACCACTGACATTGTAACAATACAAAGCCGGTTGAAAATCGGTGAAGTTACACTTTAAATGCATTATAAGTTGCTTTGGATAAAGCATCTGCTAAATGCATGTAATGTTAAGTGGATCTGGGCGTGATTAGATCTTCATAGGGGCTGATCAGGAACTTTAGTGAGCCCGTGAGCAAAATATTTCATCTACTACAAGAGGACTGTCTCTGACTTATGTGCTGTAAGTGACTGTGGCTATGGCATAAATGACGAGTAACTATTGTGCAATGAAGCTAAGTCAAGAGGCTGGGAAAATTGCGGCAAAAAGTGCTGTTATATATCAAGTGGATTTCAGTAAATTAACAGCACTTTCTTTTTTAAGAACTGTATCTGATCAAATGTATATCTCCATGCAATTGGTTAGATTCTGCGTTCTATATGGCAAGCAGAAAAAACACGGAGCATTGCTAAAATCCCCAAACATTTGGACAGTGATCAACCCAGACTATTGCTGTCAATGCGAAAATTGCAGCCAAAACCAAGGAGCTTTGGCTTTAAAATGCTAAACATGCAATGGCACTGTTTAAAAACGTGGTGGTACGCAGATTCAGCATAACATGGCCTACACAGCCAAGGAAAGACAGCAGGGTGGGACTGAAAGCGCTCACCACAGCTATTACGATGACTTCTCTGCCAAACTCAGAGACGGAGCAACAGCTATCGCTAAATATTATTACATTTTAATACTTTAATGGAATACTCTAAACAATATGGAATAAACAAACCATTGGAAAAGTTTCAGAGTGAAAATTATTTATATATGTAGTTATACAAATGATTACTTAGTTTTGTTGTCTAAGTTTTAGTTTAGAGACCGTAACAATATGGTGTGAGTGAGGAGCATGAGATGAAACAAAGAAAAACACAAAGAAACATCAAGGTTAATATCACTTGTGAACAGAATATTTGATCTCAGATTGTATCGGGTGTCTTTATGCACTTATTTAAAATATATATATATATTTTGTTCATGATGTATTGAAAAACACGTTTAAGATGGGATATGTAAGGGTTTAAAGGAGGTTAAAGGGTAGAAAAAGGGTCAATACTGTAATTATAGATGTCATTTCATAAATTAATTACATGCAGGTATTTTTTAAATGCATGTACAATTTAAAAATATGTATGGACAAAATAAGTGCATTGTATGAAACTGTTGATTTAAATTAAACATAGGGGAAAAAATAGGCCTAAATTTAAGATTTATGTATTTGAATAAAAAATATAAGATTTCCATTTTTTTTTAGAGATTATACAATTTTAACTTAAACTAATAAACTTAATGATGCAAATTTGTCAGTCGTACATTAAACGGAGATTTCTGTAATAGTACTAATAAACTAATGTGTTTTAAATACAGAATAACCAGGTTTATATATTTATCATAGTAAATCCAATTTTTTTTATCTCATACTTAACTGAATAGATTGTAAAATTTTCACAGTAACCAGGTGATTCTAAGCAATAAAAAATATGCATTTTGAAAATATGATTATTTAAATGAAATCAAATGCATTTAATTATAAACTCTGCCATTTTTTGAGTGCAGAAATATTACCCGTTAAATTTTTTTATGACTGACATATATGCATCACATCACATCAAGTTTAAGTTTTATTTTATTTTGCAATTCAAATGCATAAAATTTAAATGTAGGTTTTTTTTTAGTGTAGTAGTTAAAGACAATTAATGTAATTTTAATAGTTTTATTGTACATCATTTCCAATAAAGCTGTAATTTAATCAAATTCTGCGTGAAAACTTACTAATTGGGTTAATTTGTAATACATAAAATGATATCTATGAAATTGGAGTAATACAAAGGAGTCTGCCATTTTATATGTTTTTTTAGAATGTCAGTGTGTACGTAGGCCTAATACTATTAAACATTAGACTTATGAATGCATCCTGATCAAGATATAAAATGAACGGACAGCACACTGCTTGTGTGGTTGATGGGCTCAAACATAAGCAGAAAAAGGTTTCTAAACCGAGACTATATCACCAGTATAACTTTGACAGTTGGAAAGATGGTGTAACTGAGAACCTCAGTGCAGTGTGCGCATTATTTACTTACAATCTGGGCATGTTTGTACTTTCACCAAGATACTGATTCAGGCATCCAACCAGAAAACATATTTTCATCAGATAAAGAAAGGCTTGTTGCACATTAGAGGGCTTTGAAATGTAAGGTGACAACAGAACCCTCTTTATGTTGAAATATAGAATATTTGTATATAGGAGTAGATTAGTGTAACGGTTATGTTCTCTTTGGGACTCATATGTTGTGTTTCATCATTTGTTGCCATGGTTTTTGTTATTAGTTATTCACCTGTGTCCTGTTAATGATCTGATTTCACCTGTCTATTTAAGCCTGTGTTTTTCAGCTCAGTTTTGCCAGTCCTCGTCTGTGTTAAAAAGTTGGTTTGTTTAGCGGTTCTACTGTAGATTTCCAGTGTGTTGTTGTTATGTTCAGTAAAATAAAGACTGTTGAAATCAATCATCCTTGCTACATTTTCCTTGGTCAACTGTGACAAAGAGAGTTTTTGTGAAAGTTGTGTTCTCATGTTCAGATCAATACTTGTCTGTAATGGGTTGGGAAACAGGTTAACGTAAACCCTCTTTCTCCTCAATATTTCACACAAACACTAAAGCCACAGTTAATCCATTGAAATATGTTTGTTTCCAGGTAAAGATGGCACTGGACTGACAGACACAGAGATGCCTCAATCTGATGATCCTACAGGAATGGATGGTAGTTACATCAATCTGAAAGACACCGGGGTCAAAGGTCAAGCAGAACGCCCTGAGCTCGGCAGTCCTCTAGACAAGTGTGAGGTTGAGAGCAATAAAGGCAAGAAGAGACGGAACCGCACCACCTTCACGAGCTATCAGCTGGAGGAGCTGGAGAAGGTTTTCCAGAAGACACACTACCCCGATGTGTACGCCCGCGAACAGCTGGCCCTCAGGACGGACCTCACTGAGGCACGGGTGCAGGTGAGCCTGCTCGTCCCGCCTTTCAAAGCTTTGTTAATTACATTAAATATTTTAATCGTTTAACAGCACTAATTCTAATCGCGATTAATCGCATTAATGTCATTGTTAACATGCGATTAATCGCACATTTTTATCTATTCTAAATGTCTCTTGATTTTTTTTTTGTCCCATTATTTTTATTCATTTTAATGCTCTTATCAACATGGAGAAGTGGATCGGCTCGCTTTGTGCAAATGTTTTTTATTGAAAACAACATTGGCATATACAGTGCTCAATTTCACACTAACATTCTCACTTGGAGCAAATAATCCCTCACACAATGTAACACTGTCCATCAATAAAAGGGTGAAAGAAATCCTGACGAGGTCCTGAGATTGACGAGGGGGCGGAGAATTCGCATCAGCTGTGTGTGTGTGTGTGTTTGGCCATCATCAAGTGGTATTTCAGACTGGACGCGTTGCGATGATAGCTCAGTTCACAACGACAAAACACACAGATCGCTTTGGTCTCGTCAATGGAACCATTTGGCAACTTTTTAAAAGTAAACTTTCCATTCAGAATCTTATTGGCATCCATTTCTGCGTCTCGCGCTCTTCATCCACTCAAAACGTAACGTTAACCTACTATTTGGCCGGCTCGCGAGCCCAAACAAGTGTGTGTGGCGTGCCTGTTGTTTTGTTTCCGGTCTAGCTAGATCCGCTTGCGCTTTGGTCGACGAAGCAACAAAACGTCCTCGCGCGGCGCAAGCCATTGAAATGAATGGGTTTCATAGCGCAGCGCCGCGCATGCCGCGTCCTGTTGCAAAAGCATGTGAAAAAAACTACAAAGATTGCTAGGCCAAAAAGACCGTTAATCGCGCGATAAAAAAAATGAACGCCGTTAAAATGGGTTTGCGTAAAATGGGTTAGAATATATTTGAGATTCATATGCGCTTCAGAAGAGCTGTGGTAGTTTAAATTAAATAACCTAGAATATAAATTTTCGATTTACAACATTTGCAGCTGGTTGTGAGTTACTACAAAAATAATGATTCAGGAGCTGTTTGTCGCCGGTTTCAACTAAAAATGGCTAATCTTTTGTGTTTTGGCCATTCATTTACACCACAACGATAACTTTTGAAAGCGGGTTTCAAAGTGCACTTAAAAAAAAAAGATACTGATATTGTCTCATTGTAAACGACAAAAACGTGAATTTGTGAAAATGTGTCATGTAGGCCTATACGTGTAATAATAATAATATGTGTAATACGTAAACATAATAGGCTACGTGTATTATGTTTCTGTACAAAGTGACATCGCCAACTACTGGCCTGGCAGCAGAATACAGTGTTTAGTCATTTTTGCGGATCCGTGTGAACGGGATTGTTTTGACAACGGTCGGTGTTTCCTGTACATGAAAAACGCAAAGGAAAAAGGTTATCGTTTTTAGTACATTGTTGTTGTGTAAAAGTACTCCATTCTTCAGTTTGTAAAACTACTACTATGAATAATAAAACATGATCAGTTTTAGTTTTATTAATATATGATTCATATATTTATTAATATATTATATAAAATTATACAATATTATATTTAAAATTAGTTCATATGTTTAATAATATAATATTTGAATTGTTGTAATATTATTATTTTCAAATATTACCACAATGATTAATTTAGCCTATGACATTATATAAAATCCTACAATGATATATTGAAATTATATTTTACACTTTTATTCATATTTTATAGGCTCCCTATGACCCTACAAAGGACAAAAGGTTTGGAGAATGGTTGGATGGATAATACTTTATAGTTTTATATTAATTATTTTTTATTAGTAGTAGTAGTAGTATTGGTGGTAGTAAAATGATTATTATTATTATTATTAATATTATTTGGTAATATTCTCTTAATAATTATGATGAACAGATTGAATTTAGGTTTTTATACACACATGATAATTTGAACTAGACTGCTCAATTCATATGGATTAGTTTTTACAATCTCTTTATGAACTTTTTGAAGCGTCAAAGTGGTAGTTGTGTTGCTGTCAATGGAGGAAAACTCTCAGATATCATCAAAACGATCTTCATTTGTGTTCTGAAGATGAACGATAGTCTTATGTGTTTGACATGAGGGTGAGAAATTAATGACAGAATTTTTTATTTTTGGGTGAACTATCCCTTTAATAAATTTGCCCATTTTTAAATCTATTCCTCAGAAGTCCACAGGTTTCCCCCGAAGTCTATAGATCCTGCTCTGCTAAAGAGAACAATAGTCTCTGCTGTGCATAACACAGATCTCTATTCTCACATCATGACAGAGAAGCTGGACCCACACCACTTCTAGTCATGTTTAATGTACCTCTCTACACCACAGTGTTTAAGGATGTTAAGAAGAGTTAGGGAGAAAAAAACACACACACGTTCTCTGGCAGTTGAAGAAAACAGTTTGAGATGCCATTGAGAATTTCCATGCAGAGAATGAGGCATCGTCAGGAACCTGGCCATGTTTTGAAGGTACAGTGGAGTAACTGCATGCGTTCTGAGTCACACACACACACACACACACATGAGTCTAATTACCCCTGTAGGCTGACAACACAGTGCAGACTCTGTTGAGTGACTACAGGGTTCGACCCGTTTTTCAAAAACATACCTACAGACATACGCAATTGTGATGATCGCTTTCCTCCCCAGCGCTGTTGCTCTGCTCTCTCTATCAAACAGGACTTTTTCCCTCAACACACTGTAATAGAGGATGTTTTGGATGACATCATATATAGTTTTAGTCCTCGGGTCGGGACATACTTGCTTGCAACATACATTTTGGATATATGTTTTGGTATCTTTTCATGCTCAAAACCTTATGCGAGCGCATATGTGTAGTGACGCACTTATGCATTATGAGTGTCCTTAGAGTATGTGTGTGTCTGTGGATCTGCACAAGGGTCCCCTGCTCTCATCTGTGGGTCTCTTGAGAGGTCAGCGGGGGCAGCTCTGGAGAGCCGGGGGCTTAGGCGTCAGGAAATTAAACATGAAATGTAAACAAACTCCAGCCTGAACAATTCTCCTCTTTCACTTTCTAACATCCTCCCTTTAGAATTTGAGTTTGAAGAAAAGAAAGAGCAAAGGAGAAAGTTTGTATGTGAGAATGATGAAAAAAAAAACACGAAGACGTAAACTCAGAAAAAAGTCAGAATTTAAGATATTAAATCAAAAGTGCTAAATATAAACCCACATTTGCGGGAAATAAATGGGCAATTCTAAAAAAAAGTCCAAGTTGTGAGATATAAACTCGGAATTGTTAAAGGGTTAGTTCACCCCAAAATGAAAATTCTGTCAGTAATTACTCTCCCTCATGTTGTTCAAGCCCGTAATACTTTCGTTCATCTTCGGAACACAAATTAAGATATTTTTTATTAAATCTGAGAGGTGGATCACTCCTCCATAGGCTTCTTAAGGGATCGAAACTGACCGGCCCAAAAGTTATGAAAGACATCGTTAAACTAGTCCGAGTGACTACAGTGGCTCAATCTTAAGTTTATCAAGCGACGAGAATACTTATTGTGCGCAACAAACAAACAAAAATAACGACTTTATTCAACTAATCATTTCCTTTTCTGTACGGCCGTGATATTTCACATAGTGATATTGTGTAAAGCTTGTAGGTTGCACGTCACACGCAGGCTCACTATTGGCCGACGCTGGTCATGTGTGTGATGCGTGTGATGTACAACCTAGAAGCTTTGCGCAGTTTCACTACGTGAACTCACTCGAGGTCCACAGGGAAGGAAATGATTAGTTGAATAAAGTCGTTATTTTTGTTTGTTTGTTGCGCACAAAAAGTATTCTCGTCGCTTGATAAACTTAAGATTGAGCCACTGTAGTCACTCGGACTATTTCAACGATGTCTTTCATAACTTTTGGGCCGGTCAGTTTCGATCCCTTAAGAAGCCTATGGAGGAGTGATCCAGCTCTCAGATTTAATCAAAAATATCTTAATTTGTGTTCCGGAGATGAACGAAAGTCTTACGGGGTTGGAACAACATGAGGGTGAGTAAATACTGACAGAGTTTTCATTTTTGGGTGAACTAACCCTTTAAAAATAAAGTCTAAATTGTGAGATTAAATGTCGCAATTACGTAGGTTACCTTGTGCAGATTCAACGTATGAATAAGATCGTTAAATTTATATGAATTGGCCACCACTTCGCCAAAATGTAAAATAGTTACGAATACTTTTTTTGTCTATAATTGAATGCCTTGCAGTCTGCTCAGATGGTTTAGAATAGTTATTAAACTTAGGGGCCGTTTACACAATACTCTTTTCAACTAAAAACGGGGAAAAAAGTGTGCGTTTTTGGAAAGATTTTGGACAAAATTGTGCGTTTTGGTCATTAATTTTACAGGACAACAGCATTTTGGGGGCCTGAAAAAGCAAACTTTTGAAAATGGGTTTCAAGTGCAAGTTTTTGAAACCAATACGGTTATCATCTCTGTGTAAACCACAAAAACGTGGATTTGTGAAAACTGCGACGTCATGCACATGCGTACACGTTCAGTCTGTTGGCGTCTAGTTTACAAAGTGACATCGCCAACTACTGGCCTGGCATGAATGATGCAGTGTTTTTAGTGTTTTTTTGCAGATCCGTGTGAACGGAGATTGTTTTGACAATGTTGTCTGCATGTGTAAAATGCAAAGAAAAAACGTTTCCTTTTCTAGTATATTGACAGAATGTTCCGGCTTTCAGTGTTTTCACTGTTATACGGTAGGGGGCGATATTACGCATCTTCTGAAAGAGTGCAGAATCTCCTGATCAAAACGCATGCGGAAAAAAAAGCAGAAACAAAGCTTTACTTTCGCACATGATAGTCTTTGGGGGAAAAAAATGGATTTTCAAACTTCTGTTTAAAAAAAAAAAAAAAGACATCATGAAGCTAGAATAAAACATTTTTGTTTTTTGTATGTTTTTGTTTAAAAGAAGAGCTTCTGTTCTTTCTTTTGATATATTGCATGTTCAGATATTCATACAACAAAACATTCTGGGAAACATGAAAGTTTTGTGAAAATGATAAAAAAAAGGCTGGAAACTTAAAAAAAACGCTGGCGGCGAAAAAGTTATCGTAAAATAGCATTTACGTGTAGATTGTCCTTCAATTTATCTTCAAAACATTTCCACCCTTGTAGAGGAAAGAGGAACAACATAAACTAAGAATACAGATGCTGCTCGGCTCATTGATCATTGGTCATTATCTCTGATTACTCTTCGTAGACCAAGGAAAAACAATATAAACGTCCAAAGAGACGGGGATTAAATTACAAAGATTCTCAAAACAGATGACATGATCATAATGGCACTTGGAGGTCAGGAGCAGGACGTGACATCGGCCTGGACGATCAAATTACTTTGTATACAATTGGCCTCTATAGGACAACTTAAACTGATTCAAGCAATATATTTTGTAACTCAAATAAAGATAAGTTGAAATGCATTGTATCTTTTGTACCTTTTTAAGGTTCCCCATTCATGTGAACTCAGTGCTCCATATTCTGTTACCCTTCCATAATATGTCTGGGGCTCTTGGGGCTTATGGAAACTGTAATGTGATTGGACAGGGATACACCTCACAATCCAAGTTTATCTCAGTGCTAGGGACAGATTGAAAAAAAGCTCCCCTCGAAAACGAGATGTCACATCTCAAGGGGTTTTCCTCTTAACAATACATTTTGAAATTGGCAACTGCCCTTTGAAATAGTCAACTGTTTAAACATGGGAGTCATCTTCCTTCCTAAATTACACACCCGAGACAAGTAGCCTATTCGTTTGGTCCAGTGGTGATTGTGAACATCTCAGATGTTGTTAGTTTAACTGACAGGTTAGTTAACCTATTTTAACTGACATTTAAAAAAATGTGTGTTTTTTGTCACTTGTGTAGAAACATTCTCTGTCATATACTGTGAAGGGATGGCAATGTCTGAGGGTGAAACTTGACAGGATCATATTGAAAAACAAACATCTATAATATAAATACTAGGAATGTCTCATTTGAACACGTGCACGTCTGTTGCAGACTTTACTTTGCAGATTACAAGTCAGTAATGAATGAGATGAGGTAAATGTCAAAAAATGTCTTCTGCAACAACAGAATAAAACATTGTATCCGGTCAAATTTGAAACAATAATCAAGCAACAAACTGGATTCTAAACCAATTACGTGTATTTACAAATCATAAAATATCAAAAGTTCAAAACACGTGTTGAGGTCTGCCAGCACGCAGGCAGCTGTGGTTTGGGGCTGTTGGTTTGTGTGGTGGTGCACTAACAGAAGATCAGAACTGGCCTCATTGTGATTGATGAGGTGGACCTGCTCCAGACATGAGCGAGGCTGAGAAGTGCAGAGCTGCAACCTGTGCTGGCAGGCGAGAGTTCAGATCCGTACATTAAAGACATCAGCTGAGGAACCGTGCAGTGCTTTCATGTGCCTCACGATTGATGCTTTGGCATGGGCTCAGTTCAGTCACAGGGAGAAAGCCAGCTCTCTGTAGATCTTTAGTAATAATGGTCTGTGTATAAACGGCTTTGAGAATTTGCATTTAGTACCAATTTAGAAGTAGCATGAAGAAAACCTGTACCTGTATTCACTCCAAATCTTGGGATTTTGCAGATAGATATTTCAAATAATCCGATTTTTGGTTCATTTCCTACAGGTGTGGTTTCAGAATCGCCGGGCCAAATGGAGAAAGAGAGAACGCTTTGGTCAGATGCAGCAGGTTCGGACGCACTTCTCAACGGCATATGAGCTTCCTCTTCTTACACGACCAGAAAATTATGCACAGGTAAAAGGAAAATCTGTACTACCAATCATACAGTAGATTTGACACCAACAACATGTTTGCGATTGCTTTTACACAGCAGTTTAATGAAAAATAATTTTAAATTTGCTTCTTACATTATAGACACAATATTTACAGTTACTTTGTTTTTGCACCGAAGAAAATCCAAACAAAGAAAAGCATTATCCAACACGAGTAATCAATGTTTTTAAAATATCGGTGGAGTGAATGATTCAGTGAGTCACTCATAAAGACAGTTGTTTCATTCCTGAATCTTAAGAGTTTTTGAAAGAAATGGTTGAGTGAACAATTCAGTGACTCACACGTAAAGATGGAGGCTGCATCTGAAAAGGCATTCTCTTTGAGGAGGAACTTCTATTGAGTAATTACTTTGTGATCTGTTTTTTGATATATATATACACTCACCGGCCACTTTATTAGGTACCCCATGCTAGTAACGGGTTGGACCCCCTTTTGCCTTCAGAACTGCCTCAATTCTTCGTGGCATAGATTCAACAAGGTGCTGGAAGCATTCCTCAGGGAGTTTGGTCCATATTGACATGATGGCATCACACAGTTGCCGCAGATTTGTCGGCTGCACATCCATGATGCGAATCTCCCGTTCCACCACATCCCAAAGATGCTCTATTGGGTTGAGATCTGGTGACTGTGGAGGCCATTTTAGTACAATGAACTCATTGTCATGTTCAAGAAACCAATTTGAAATGATTAGAGCTTTGTGACATGGTGGAAGTAGCCATCAGAGGATGGGTACATGGTGGCCATAAAGGGATGGACATGGTCAGAAACAATGCTCAGGTAGGCCGTGGCATTTAAACGATGCCCAATTGGCACTAAGGGGCCTAAAGTGTGCCAGGAAAACATCCCCCACACCATTACACCACCACCACCAGCCTGCACAGTGGTAACAAGGCATGACGGTTCCATGTTCTCATTCTGTTTACGCCAAATTCTGACTCTAACATCTGAATGTCTCAACAGAAATCGAGACTCATCAGACCAGGCAACATTTTTCCAGTCTTCAACTGTTCAATTTTGGTGAGCTCTTGCAAATTGTAGCCTCTTTTTCCGATTTGTAGTGGAGATGAGTGGTACCCGGTGGAGTCTTCTGCTGTTGTAGCCCATCCGCCTCAAGGTTGTGCGTGTTGTGGCTTCACAAATGCTTTGCTGCATACCTCGGTTGTAACGAGTGGTTATTTCAGTCACTGTTGCCCTTCTATCAGCTCGAACCAGTCTGGCCATTCTCCTCTGACCTCTGGCATCAACAAGGCATTTCCGCCCACAGAACTGCCGCTCACTGGATGTTTTTTCTTTTTCGGACCATTCTCTGTAAACCCTAGAGATGGTTGTGCGTGAAAATCCCAGTAGATTAGCAGTTTCTGAAATACTCAGACCAGCCCTTCTGGCACCAACAATCATGCCACGTTCAAAGTCACTCAAATCAACTTTCTTCCCCATACTGATGCTCGGTTTGAACTGCAGGAGATTGTCTTGACCATGTCTACATGCCTAAATGCACTGAGTTGCCGCCATGTGATTGGCTGCTTAGAAATTAAGTGTTAACGAGCAGTTGGACAGGTGTACCTAATAAAGTGGCCGGTGAGTGTATATTAGTACAGTGTAAAACATGTATGTAGCCTACACAACAAGTGCATTGTATAAAATGATGTTTTTGAATGTTAGTACATAGTAGACACTTAGGCCCCTATTTTGACGATCTAAAACGCAAGTATCAAGCGCAAAGCGCAAGTAACTTTGTGGGCGGATCTCGGCGCTGTTGCTATTTTACCGGTGGGAAAAATGACTCTTGCGCTCGACGCAAATCTAAAAGGGGTTGGTCTGAAGTAGCTTCATTATTCATAGGTGTGGTTTGGGCGTAACGGGAAATAAACCAATCAGAGCGTCATCTCACATTCCCTTTAAGAGCATGATGAACGAGGTGCGCTTGTTCCATGGCGCAATACTATTATAACGGCGCATTTACCAGGCGCGCTTCAGAATCGGTTCACAGCCGAGGAGATCGATGTTCTCGTCAGGGCTGTAAAAGAAAGAGAGGTGACATTGGGGATGGGACAAACCCACCCAAATTAGCTTCGGTTAAACATGCATATAATAATTTTGGTAAATGTGTAAGCTTTATACCTATTTTTCCCATTGTCACGGACACAACAATGATTTCCCTCGTGTTTTAATACTTTTCCTTATCATAATGTAAAGTAAAATGCATCTGTGTAGATGAGAGAATCATCTACAGTGTATTCGCGTTGTTCACACTCTGTATTATGGCCAAGCATGCGCGCTTAAAATAGCATCTGAATGTACGCGCAACGCGCCACTGACTTTAGACTAGGTTTTTTCTGGTCAGTGGCGCAATTGTTTTCTGGAACTGCAAAATAGCACCAGGGATTGTTTGCGCCGGAACACGCCTCCTTTTTTGTGCTGAACCGCCCAGGGAGCGCAAGTTCATTCCCTAGTTTACCGCAGGCGTCTGTGGAGGGAAAAGTCTGCTTTGCACGGGTGCAAAATACGAATGATACATGCGTCAGTGTACAAAGTAAATTGCGCTGGGTCCAAGATAGGGCCCTAAATGTGATGTAGGACCGGGTTTACATGCGTGTTTTTCTTTTGTATTTTCCTTTAGATTCAGAACCCATCTTGGCTAAGTGGCAGCAGTGCCGCCTCCCCAGTGCCTGGCTGTGTGGTTCCTTGTGATTCTGTATCTTCCTGCATGAGCCCTCACCCTCACTCCGCTAGTGGCGTGACTGATTTCCTCGGTATGCCAAGCCCTGGTGGGAACATGGGACAGACACACATGGGCAGTCTTTTTGGCAACTCTGGAATGGGCGTAACCATGAATGGTTTTGATCTCAGCGTCGAACCAGATCGCAAATCCTCCAGCATCGCCAGCTTGCGCATGAAGGCGAAAGAGCACAGTGCCGCGATCACATGGGCCACATGATGCCTTCATCTGGGACACAGAAGACCAGACAACCTCAGCCCTAAGCTGTCAGCACTAATGAGGTGAAAGTAATGCCATCTGGAGCCAATATGAACATGAGAAATGGAGGCTCGAAGCTTTAAAACACTTGGAGATTTCATTTTGAATTTTTGGAGGAAGTGGATGTGCAGTGGGAGTTTGAATGTGTGGAAACCGATGGGCCAGTTTCAAAATAGAGACTGTACTGAAAAATATATAAGTATATACTAAATATATAATGACTTCCCATGTCTCACAATTGAAAAAAAAAATCAGTATGCACTATTTTAAAACAAAATTAAATTAAATTTAAATGAAAGAAGAAAGCATCAGTTCTTATGCACTATAGGCTCAAACCATTCAGTCAGGATTGAGCAGAATACAGAACAAGTGCTTCCCATCCAATAGATCCATAAGGTGTGAGAGCCTTTATATATTAGCCGATGAAGTACCAGGTTTGGTCCTCTTCGTCTTTGCTATGCCAAACAGGCCCATTCTGTCCAGCTGAAGCTCCAGAAATACTCCCTTTTTATCACAGCCACATTCTCTAAACCAGAGGTAATAGGACATTGTTTCCAGATAAATGGGGGAATGTTGTGTTTGTTTTGGGTTAACAGGACGCAGCTCTATCGGTTGGAACATAAGCCTAACTTCATTAATTTCCTGGCTCCATCAGTTCCTTTGCACCAGCGACAGATCTAGTTTCTCCCGCTGCAGGGAGGGTCATCGCCCAAAACCTCTGCTTCTTTTCAACACGGAACTCTGCGTATCATGAAATATGAAGAAGAGACTCTAGGTCTGGTGCCATTCGGGTTCTTAGCCAGTAATGTGCTGCAAACTCAATTATTTTTTGTTTTTTAAGAAAGGTACTTTGATAGTTCACCAAAAAATTTACATTCTGTCATTAATTACTCACCCCCATGTTGACCGTAAAACTAATGTGAATAAAATCTGAAAATGATTCTGTTCATCATATAAAGCGATTGTGTCCCTTCAAAAAAATTGGATTAAACACCTCAATTCATATGGATTAGCTTTAAGATCTCTTTATGAACTTTTTGATGCATAGCTGTCAATGGAGAGACAGAAAACTCTCAGATTTCTTTGGAAATATCATTATTTGTGTTCTGAATATGATGACATCTTACAGGTCTGGAGCGGCATGAGGGTGAGTAATTAATGACAGAATTCAATTTTTGGGGGGTGAACTATCACTTTAAGGCCCGTTCGCCTCAAGGACGATAACTTTAACGACAACGAAATATATTGTTCTAAAACTAAACATAAAAGAATTGCAGAGTTTAGACCCCAACTATAATGACCACAACTACGATAACGGCACAGAGACCCGATAACGTTAGAATCACTGTCAGAACAATTTCCCCCCCCCAGCTGATGAACGGTAAAAACATGACAGCCAATCAGAATCCATCCTGCTTTTAAGAGCTCGAGCATTTAAAGTGGCAGGCGACAAAACAAAAGCAGAACGCTATATCGTTACAGTTATCATTCTTGGTCTCGTAAAATGGGACTAAAGGCCCATTCACACCATGTTTAAACATCTAAATGAAGATAGCAGAGTATATTAAATCGATTTTGAAGAAATCTCATTCTGTAAATCAGTAAAATCTCATTCTGTAAAAAGGCACTTTCCTGATTGAGATTAGCTAGAGCGTCGTTCAAAACACAATGGGTCTTTCACTTCTAAATGTTGGAGACAGAATGTAACGGAGGGAGGTCATTGTGTGTATATTCAGAGAGGGCATAACTCTTTTCTTCTTGCTCCTCTTCCTCAGTTTAAATACTACTGAGACATGCAGTTAAATATATATTATCATCCGGTCTTTGCGTTTGTACAGCATGCACTTTTAATAATATGGTGATTTGCTTATGCTTACTATGTGTGTTTGGATTAAATGAGTGATGTAGTTTTGCTGGTTTGATTGTTATTCTTGATAACATAACTAATTTTCTTTTGTAAAAAAAAAAAAAATTAAATTCTGTGCTGAGAATACTGCACACGTTTATACTGTATGTGTCTCATGAAATTCAGGCAATAACAAGCTGTTGTAAAATACAAAGCATATTTCTGTATAATAGTGTCTGTATCTGAATTAAAGTGATTATGGGATCACTTGCAACCAACTAAACACATTTAAAGCTGTTACAAACACACCTACTTTATTTTATTCTTTGAGAAGATAGTTTGTATTTTAAACTCAAAAAGTGTTGTAGACCAAATTGAATACTATTGTTATTTCAAATCATCCCTTTTCGAGCAGTGTGAGCTTATGACCAATTGTTTCTGTATAATATAGGCTAAACCCTAAAAATACAGTCTAGTTAATCATTGGAATGTATGGATTTTAATAAACGTTTCACATGGTTAAAAAAAAAAAAAGAAGAAAGAAAGAAAGAAAAAGCTGAATCAGGGAAAGGGTGTGAAAAGAGGAAGAATGATTTACATTCAGCAAATAAACAGTTCCCAACACCAGTGGATTAGACAGAAGAGACAGTTGCAACTGCTTTCCAATCCTATTTTAATCCATTATATTTATAGCCATCTAGAGGAATTCAAGACATTGCACATGGAAATGTGTGCCTGCATGTCAGGTAGGTCATCTATTGGCTAAAGGATGCCTATTGAAATTAAATAGACAGCCAAAAATGTGATGGATTGTAATAATTTAGTTTATTTGTCGTGTTGAAAGCATGAAAAGGCCAGTGGACATGGATAAAATGAATGCACTAAAATGAGCATTTCACGCTGAGTGCCAGAGTTCAGCATATTTCACAGGAATAAGGAGCAAACTTTGTCGTCTTCTGCGTTGAGCAACAGTTTTGGTCTGCATCCAGAGCTGTAAGGAGACAGCCAACACAAAGCTTGTCACCCAATAAAACCTCCACTGGGACCTGACAGCCTTCCAGATGAGCCTGGATCCCTCCCAAATAAATCCATCAGGGAAGATGTCTGGCACTCGCACAACCCATTTTACTTTCTCACTCGCTGAACGGTCCGATCCCTTCGCTCTTCTTACATTTCTGGCAGAATGTCAGTCCCTTGGGCTTTGCTAAACTCTCTCCATCTCACACGCACAAAACAGAAAGCAAACGCAGACAAAGATAAAGGAGTTTACGACTTAAGAAACAGTGTAGGTGATAGAATGGAGAAAATAGGAGAAAAGCACTGCATTGAACTCTGTAAAATATGTCAGGCAGGTTCTATACCTGGAAAACACACATTAATGGCTGTTTAATCCACCAGATCACATGTAAATCTTCCTTGCACATACACACTCTGTTCATTTCATAATCAAAGAAACAGGCCGTGAAACTGCATATTTCTTACTTTCAAAATTTTTTCAAGATGTTGCAAATCTTTTTTTTTTTTTTTTTACAGAAATACTATTAACTATTAACATTTCTATGACCTGCCTTTGTTTGTTTGTTTATTGTTGTTGTTGTGTGTGTGTGGTCCTGGTAAACCCTACATTATAGGGACAAAATGTCCATCTTATATTACCATCTGGCATTGTTGGTCCCCATGAGGAAAACCGCTCATAAATCTTATCTTATCATCATCTTATAAAGTGATGTTTGTTTGTTTTTTACAAAATGCAATATGCAGACAGTTTTCTGTGACAGATAGGTTTAGGGGTAGGGTTAGAATATACAGTTTGTACAGTATACAAATCATTATGTCTATGGAAAGTCCCAATAAAACATGAAAACACGTGTGTGTGTGTGTGTGTGTGTGTGTGTGTGTGTGTGTGTGTGTGTGTGTGTGTGTGTGTGTGTGTGTGTGTGTGTGTGTGTGTGTGTGTGTGTGTGTGTGTGTGTGTGTGTGTGTGTGTGTGTGTGTGAATTGTATTTACTTACCCTCACGTCATTGCAAACCTGTATGACTTCCAGTGGTCAGTGTGAATGATCACGACTTGGTGACTTAAAGGGTTAGTTCACCCAAAAATGAAAATTCTGTCAGCAATTACTCTCCCTCATGTTGTTCCAACCCCGTAAGACTTTCGTTCATCTTCGGAACACAAATTAAGATATTTTTGATGAAATCTGAGAGCTGGAAATCTGAGAGCTCCATAGGCTTCTTAAGGGATCGAAACTGGCCGGCCCAAAAGTTATGAAAGACATCGTTAAAATAGTCCGAGTGACTACAGTGGCTCAATCTTAAAGGAGAACTCCGGCGCAAAATGAACCTTTGGTCTAATTACACATTGTTACCTAGTCAACCGTTCTCTGAGATTTGTTTTCATGATTATCGAATGTAAAGAGTTTTATCTCTAAAAACTGTTTAGCCTATAACGCTAGTATATTGGGCATAGAGTAATGGCAAATAAAAATCGCTAGTTAATACCACTAACTAGGCTCAAAATAGCCCCACACTAACACGGTAGCATAATGAGGGTCCCTACATGCAAACCGAAGCATTGAGAACTTTGTCAGAGTCCAGACAGTTTAATAAGAAGATACTTTATAAAGACAGTCCACTTCGCGAATACAGGCAGGAGCCATCTTTGAAAAACAGTCTCGACAAGTCAAACTATGAACGCCGATCCAAGTCCCGATCTAAGTCTCTCTTTTTAAAATTATTTTTATTTATTTATTTTCTGTGTTGCGTTCAGTGCTTCTCGTATGCACTCAGTGCTTTCTTCCGGAAACAACGGACCATATGCGATTCCAAGACACAGTTCAGCTCACTTGGATCGGCGTTCGTAGTTCTACTGGTCGAGACTGTTTTTCAAAGATGGCTCCTGCCTGTATACGCGAAGTGTAGGCTACTATCTTTATAAAGTATCTTCTTATCAAACTGCCTGTACACTTACAAAGTTCTCAATGCTTCGGTTTGCATGTAGGGGACCCTCATTACGCTACTGTGTTAGTGTGGGGCTATTTTGAGCCTTGATAGTGGTATTAACTAGCGATTTTTTTGCCATTATTCTATGCCCAATATACTAGCGTTATACTAGCGTTAAAGGCTAAACATTTTTTAGAGATAAAACTCTTTACATTCGATAATCATGAAAACAAATCTCAGAGAACGGTTGACTAGGTAACAATGTGTAATTAGACCAAAGGTTCATTTTGCGCCGGAGTTCTCCTTTAAGATTGAGCCACTGTAGTCACTCGGACTATTTTAACGATGTCTTTCATAACTTTTGGGCCGG